AATCCCCTTACGCTCCCAAGTGGCTGCACACCACACATTCAAAGCTGAGGAAAAGGCTTGTGTGCCACCCCTCACCCCTGGGGTTTGTTTAAAATGAGTATTTTCCAATCCAGAGGAGGATCTCCAGGAGGTAATTCAGATTTGGTACAGAAACAGAGGACACCTGGTGGTGTTTAGCTGTTAGCATATAAAAACAGCAATCCAAGTCACATGTGTGTGCAGCTGCACCAGTGACAATTACCAGAACCCATGCTTTAAATAAATAAAAGATGGAGCGATGGAGAATTTCAAATAGTGTAATCACAGAAACACACAGAAATTTCAAACAAACAACATGAGTTGCTGATTGCAGATGCTGCCACTGCTTTACAAAAATGAATTTTTTAACGGTTACAGGCAAGAAGCAGCAACTCTACACTCACAGGAGTCTGCCACCTCCACCAAACAGACACATGCTATGGAAAAGTAGAACAGATTCCCCACCACTGCAAAACCCAAGGGCACAAAGTTGTCTGTTTTGTTGGAGGAAGATCCACAGAGGTAAGAGCAGAGGAAAAAGCAATTGAGCAGACTCTGGGACAGTAAAATCACCACAAGTGAGGTACCCAGCACCTCCCAAACCACAGCGCTCCCCAGCAGCAGAGAGGAGCCACAGAGCATAGCTGAGCCCAGCTCCAGACTGCCACCAACTCATGGACTGACAGACTGTGAGTACTCACATTCCCACACTAAATTAGTGAAGCTATTATTTTAATTGAAGATGCTGTTATTAAGATAACTCTGTGAAGACCCAAACTGGAATTTTCTGTCACAGCAAATTACAAGCCCCTTGCCAGGTAATAATTAGCATCGACTCCATCATTCACAGAAGGCTGATCAATTTCTTTATTCAATTAATATTATTAAGAAACCCATTGGTTTATAGACAGTTACAATACAAGTAGACCTAATTGGTCCTCCAGTCCAAACACCATCACCATTGGCTAATTAAGAAACCACCCCTGGGTAAACAAATCTCCATAACGCATTCCACATGTTCACAGCAACAGGTGCAGCAGGTTAAGGTAAGAATCGTTTCTCATTTTTTTCCTCTGATCTTCTCACAGAGTTTTCCCAGAAAGGCCTGGGAAAGTTGTCTGCTGCTCTCCGTGGCCAGAGAGCTGCTGCCATCATTTTTTTATTGTACAACAGATACAGTGAGCTGCAAATATCTCTTTTTAGAGATATTCAGACACTGAACAGAGTCAACATCTGTGAGACTCCACTCTAAGGAGAACACAGGGGTGTCAAGGCAGGAAAAAAGCTGCACATGCATTTATGTGGGGGCTATTCAAAGTGTGCATTTTATTGCCAAAAACCGAAATAAAGGCTCAAGGTCACACTCCTGTCATGCTCCCTGTAGTAAGTATTAGAACTTACTTGGCTGGAAAGGAATGAATAAAAGCAAAAGACTGTGCAACATACATAATGTTGTTCCCCTCCTTATACAACTTTAATGCATGGATCAATAACAGCCAAGATTTTAAGTGCAAAAATTCTGTCAAAAAAAACCCCAAACAAGTACTTTTCTCTTTTGAACCAGCACTGTCAACAGAAGAAGATATCTTCTCATCTCTCCTGCTTATACGAACACAAACATGTGTGGTGAAGCACACCAGTGACCTGGTTAAAACTAGACTGGTTTAAAAAGCCCTAACAACCCCAAACAGTTGGTTTTAACCCACATCAATTCCCCCGTCTGTTCTGATCTGCAGCCATGCAAACACCTACACTGATAGAAGACGGGAGAAGAAAACTGCTCCCTTCATCAGCAGTGCTGGCTGAGAGTGAAAATCAGACTGAAGACCTTCTGGTGTTTGGAGGCTTTCTTACCAAAGTTAGCAAAGCAAAACTTCCACTGAAAAACAGATTAGAGGCCAAGCTCAGAATCAGTATGAGACAAAATAAAGCTTTACAGAAACTTTCAGATGAGCTCTGAGTTTTATCCCAGAGGACAATTAATCTCAACACTGCCTGTGCTGCTGGAAACAAAATCAATTTAAAAGTCAGCAGTAGATGCAAGAAACAAACTTTAGGTTTAGCTTAAAATACATAAAAGTCAGCTAAGGAAGAATAACAAAGAACAAGTAGAAAAACAGGGCCTTTAAGTTTTTTGAACAAAATCCACCTTGGAAGCCTCAAGGAGAGAATTTCAGCTGGCAAGGCAGAGGTGGTAATGGACTATTCTGCAATATTTGAGCAACCTCTTCCCCAGATTTTCTCTAATATCCAAGGAAAAATGCCCCAGATATCATACCCTCTCAAAAGTTTGCTTTGTTACCTTAATTTTTAATGTCAGTCAACAGTGTAACTTCCTCCTGAAAGGTTACCTGCCTGTTAATTTTCCAAGAAACTTCCCCCTTTTTACTTATTTACTAGAATATGTGCATTCTAGTTCCATACCATCCATAATAATATATAAAAAGGCTTTCAGTTTCTATTTTGATTTAATAACATTAGACTTCTTTATAACAGCAAAGAAGGGGAATAGAATTTAGAAAACAAACTCGGCCAGTAAGTCAGTATAGATACTTGAAAGCTTTTGCATGAAGTTTTCTAAATAATGACAAAAAGAATCAGCCAAGCAGTACCAGTTACTTATATCACCTTTGTGTACTTCCATACATTGTTCTGTAGAGTTAGATTGTTCTCTCAGAAGTAATGCGAAATCTTTGGCTAACCTAAGCAGCAGGAAAAAACTTAAAATGTAAGCTCAACAAATCTGCTGTTCATTAGATTGTGTGTCATGAAGTATTTAAATAGTAATTATTAGTTCTAGTTAATATATATTGATGTAGCATTTAGTATCAATGTGTTATTAATACCTTTAATGAGTAAAATACTTTTACTAAGGAAAGAACAAGGTCAATGGTCTGACTTATGAGTAGTTAAATCAGTTCAGAGACATTACTGGGCACTGAATCACAATCCTGGGGGAGAACAAAAGTCTCCAAGCTCCAGTCATAATGGCACCTTTGAGACGTTATTATTCAGAATAATAAAAATTCATTAGCTATAATGTGATTGTTTCTAGTATAAACACATTCCTCCTAGCATGCTTTGGTTTTTCCTCTGAACGTGAATATTCAGAAGGGTCTCTCTGACTGCATCATTTGATGTAGAAAAGCTCAGAAAATAGAGGTCTGGTGCAATTTTATGGTAGAACCTGCCTCACATCATTAAAGTTTTACATTGTTTGCCAATACAAAATTGTTCTCTTGCTTCACATGCTCTTTCCCAAAATTCCCAATGCCCATTTATCATATGTTTGTCTGTCTTCAGAATAATAATTGTATAGATGGAGACTTAGCTGTGTATATCAAACTTTCTTGGCGGTAACAGTTACAGAACATTTCATATTTGTTTTAATCAGATACTATGAGCCCAGTGTTGTCTAAAGATCTTACTGTGTTTGGAATTTAGTGAGAGCATAAATTTATCTCCTACTGCCAGCCCTCCCTCAGACCCCAGGTAGGTAATTTTGAAAGCCATAAACCACAGGAAGATAAAATGTGATTTTTGGGTACCAGATGCAGGCAAGTGTAAAATCCTGAGGGAAGAAGGCACACTTCAATTTCATGAGACCCATTTATACATTTAGAGCTCACTCAGAGCCCAGACAGGTTTATTGTGTAGGACTTGAACATTCAAACCAAGGCAGGCTCAGCACGAGGAGAGCGTGAGACAGCCCTGAGCACAACCACGATGATTAAACGCTGTGGGTTTGTGTTTGTGTTCCCCGGAGGATGTGTGAAGAACTGGAACGCCAGCAACAAGTCCTGAAGAAAGCCTCGGAACAGCATAAAATACAAATTAAAAAAAAAATAAAGAGGAGGAAAAACAATTGAAGAAGGGGTGCAGAACTGTGATGACCTAAAAAAATTAGGATGAAAAATGTTAGGCCCGTATGCTGAACATCACCTCACTGTGCTTGGTTTTGTGGGACAGTGCAGCTCAGAGGGACCCTGAGGGGACAGTGAGGGGACATGCAGGGAAGCCTGAAAGGACCATGAGGGAACAGTGAGAGGAACTTCAGAGAGGCCTGAAAGGACCATGAGGGGACAGTGAGAGGACATGCAGGGAAGCCTGAGGGAACAGTGAGAGGACCTTCAGAGAGGCCTGAAAGGACCATGAGGGGACAGTGAGGGGACAATGAGGGGACGCTGGGGGTACCCTGTGGGGAGCACTGAGGGGACCATGAGGGAAGCCTGAAGGAACCATGAGGGGACAGTGAGAGGACCCTGAGGCCAGCGCTGAGAGGAGCACTGAGGGGACAGCGAGGGGGCAATGAGGGAACAGTGGGTGGAGCACTGAGGGTACCATGAGTGAAGCACAGAGTGGAGCTCCACTGAGGGGAGCACCGAGGGGACGCTGAGCACTGAGGGGACACTGAACGCTGAGGGGACACAGCACCGAGGGGACACCGAGGGGACGCTGAGAACTGAGGGGACACTGAGCACTGAGGGGACACAGCACCGATGGGACACTGAGCACTGAGGGGACACTGAGCACTGAGGGGACACAGCACCGAGGGGACACTGAGCACTGAGGGGACACTGAGCACTGAGGGGACACTGAGCACTGAGGGGACACAGCACCGAGGGGACACAGCACCGAGGGGACACTGAGCACTGAGGGGACACTGAACACTGAGGGGACACTGAACACCGAGGGGACGCTGAGAGCTGAGGGGACACTGAGAACTGAGGGGACATAGCACCGAGGGGACACCGAGGGGACTCTGAGCACTGAGGGGACACTGAGCACCGAGGGGACGCTGAGAACTGAGGGGACACTGAGCACTGAGGGGACACAGCACCGAGGGGACACTGAGCACTGAGGGGACGCGGAGCGGGTCCCTGCCAGGGCCGCCCGGCCAGCCCAGCCCAGCCCCGCGGAGCACAGCCCAGCCCGCCATGCCCACGCCGGGCTGCAGGGGGCGCAGCACGGCGCGGGCTCCGCTGCCGCCTCGGGTGGGCGGGAGCGCCGGGCAGGGCCGCGCCGGGCCGGGCGGGCCCGGGGCCGCGGCCATGGCGCTGCCCGTGCTGTCGAGCTCGGCCGTGAAGTTCCGCCGGGTCCTGGCTCACTTCCCGCAGGAACTCAGCCTGGCCTTCGCCTACGGCTCCGGGGTGTTCCGGCAGGCGGGGGCCTCGGCCGAGTACGGCGAGGTGAGCGCTCGGGCCCCGCGGCGTTCCGCCTACCGGGTCCGCCTCCGGCCCTGCGGCGTGTGAGCGGTGGGGGCAGAGATCCCCACCAGATCCCCACCAGATCCCCACCAGATCCCCACCAGATCCCCATCCCGGGGGAAGAGCGGGGCGGGTGGCCAGGCCGGGCCCAGGGCTGCCCGCGGCGGTCCCGGCACTGGGCTCGGGGTCCCTCTCAGCACAGTGTGCATCGACTGTGCCTCAGGTTGTTTTCCACCGCTTTGGTAGCGTTACTACAGCTTGTCCAACTGCTGTGCACTGTATCAGGGGAATTTCAAATTTATTGCCGTAGTGAAATGGCAGTCTGGGGGGCTTCCTCATCTTCTGAGGGCCAACAGCTCGGAAGTAATGTTTATTTTTATTTTTTAGGTTTTGTTGACAAAAGCAAAGGAATACACTACAAAGGAATTCTAGAAATGCAGTTCCTTGCTGCCAGCCCTGGAGTGGTGCTTTTGTCTGCCCACATTCCCCCACTCATGGCCAAAAAGTGCTGTTCATTAGTGCTGTAAGCTGTTCCACTGAGCTGTGAATTAGGCTGGTGAAGATCTCACACCTGCTCCCCCGTTTTGGAGGGTAGAAGTTTGGTCTTGACCAGGACAGGAAAATTTTGGACTGTCTGATATACTTGACAATAAACATACAACTTCACTGGAACCTCTGAACTGTATCTGACATTAATACTTGTGGTTTGGGTTCTACTTTTATTTTCTTACTCATGAAAAATATTTAGTTTGAAGTTTGATACTGTGTATATCTTAAATTGTTATGATAACATTGTTTCTTCTTGACATTTAAACCCCACCCCTCCTCTTGTTATCCTCAGATAAATATGCTGGACTTCGTGTTTGCTGTTGATGACGTTGTGACCTGGCATATGATGAACTTGCTAAAGAACAGGAGTCATTATTCCTTCCTTAAATTTTTTGGGCCCAAAAAGATAAGTACCATACAGAGATATGGAGCAGGAATTTACTACAACACCTTAGTGCCATGCAATGGCAGGGTAAGTACAAGCAGTCTGAGTGAATTGAGTCAAATATTTATGTCTGTGAAGTATTAAAATGATTAGCTTAAAGCCGATTTCAGGAAGCAAATATTGCAGATTGTAATTGTAGATTAACTCGTAGTATCTTCAATATTTATGTCTCAAACTGCTTCACCAACAGCATTTTAATTAAAAAGCAAACAGAGCAGCCTGTCTTGCACCTTAGAAATGTGAACAGTGTTTGGAACTTATAGCTAAAGCATTTCAGGAACTGGATTTATATTCATTTTTGCTTTCTGTCTGCCAGTTTTGGTGATGGTGAGGTTTTGGTGGTGCTTCATTTCAGCAGTTGACCATGTAGTAGCAGCAAAGTGGGCTGTTTGATATAAAATGCAAGTTACAACAGCAAGTTGGAATTAACATTTGTGTTGTCTCATATCCTGACCTGTGAGTCTTGGGGGTAATCAGTAATTCTGGTGAGTGCTTCTTGTCCAGCAGTCCTGTTCCTGCACCTCTGTGTTTGGTAGGGAGAAGTGAGGGAAACACTGTCAGTCTTACTGTTCTTGTCCCTGCATGATATTTTGGGGTTTAAGCCTTATTTGTGTGATGTAAAAAGGGATTTGGGATTTCATTTGGAGGACCAGTGGTGTTTGCCATGACATTGTGTTCTTGGCTCTTCATGCCCTGGTCTTATGTTCTAAAGACTTAGTCTTATCAAAGGCTGTGGTCCTTTGGTATCCAGAAATTCTGGAGCTGCTGCCTTGCTGTGTGATAATCTTTGGAAATTCAGGTATTACAGATTGGAAACAAACTGTGGAAAGTCACATGTTTTTTTCCAGTTACTTAAAATAAGCTGCAAAATTACATGTTTTTCTTAACATCAAAGGGCAAAAGAGACTCCCTGATACACACCCCACCTCCCAATAACAGGATACATAAGTGTCTGGAGGTTGTAATTTAAGTCTCTGACAAACTATTGTTTGAGGTTTTTTAATATCATAAAGGATAATGTGGATTATTCCAGCTATTGTAATAGTTGGCTGCTTACTTTATTGCAACTCTGATTCTAGAAGCGATCTTAGTTTCAATTAATTCCATTCTTTCCCTGCAGAAGTTGGAATGTAAATAGGAGATTTTTCTTTTACCTCGTATGTTAATTAAAACATAAAAATGTTTTCCAGTTTTTGTTGGAGGTATGTGTGCCTTAGGATTAAGAACAGTTACAGCAAGTAGTAAGTTCCATATAGGGAAAACAGTGCAAGGATGGTTTTTTTCAAAAGCCTCTAATTTGCTTTGTTTTTTCCAGATGATAAAATATGGAGTAATTAGCACTGATGCCCTGATTGAGGATTTGTTGCACTGGAAAACTCTCTATGTGGCTGGGCGCCTCCAAAAGCCGGTAACTGCTCAGTTTTCTCTCTGAAATGCAGGAAATTGCAGGGCTGGAAAAGAATCAGTTAGAGTTTGAACTTTATCTGTTAGGGATCTGTGCAGCAGTGCTGCTCAAAAAATCTGCCCTGATTTAGGGGTGTAGTCCCAGAGGGATAATCTCTCAGAGAGGAGGTGAAATGTAGTTCCTCATGATTGATGTTCTGTGGAAAAAGAACCCTAAAGGTGAGTGTATTAATAACAGTTTTCTGCCTGTAGTAAATCTTGAATAACTCTATTAATGCCAAGTCCCTTTAATGTTAAATGTAATATTTGCCTTTTATAACAGATTATAGGGGTGCCCAAAATTTAACACAGCTAAAGAATTGATATCTTTAAAGACGAAAACAGCTTTGCTGTGCAGTTACTGTCTGGTTCGTAACTGAATGAAACATGGGTTCTGCATGTTGATTTTTCTCCTCTATAATGGACCGTAAAAAATAATTTTTGCTTTCCCCCTTGTGCCTGCCTCAGTTTGCTTTCAGCAGATGGCAGCAGTGCTAAGGGAAAAATTTGTTAGGAGGGGAGGGAGAGAATTAGAGGAGAAATCTCTTCAGGTCTTGGAAGAGAAGTTAATTATGCTTTTAGCTAAAAAACTTGGAGTGAAAGTTTGAATAGATTGTCTCAGACTGCTGGCTTTATCTCCAGAGATGTATTACAGCATGATCCAGGTTAGAGCAGCTGTTATCTTTGTAAAGGATGAAACTTAATCCATTGAGAAAGATAACTGAAGGGAGAGTTCTGGATGTCACATCAACACTGAATAGTGAATAGCTGTTTTCAGTGGAACTGCATTTTCTGCTGCTTTGATTTGTGAGATGGTACAGTGAATATAAATTATCTGTACTATGCAAAAGCCTCCTTAACTGTGGGTGCTATTTCAGATTTAGCCCAAGAATCAACATTCATGTTTTACCAGGGTGATAACCATTGCACTTGGACTTCCTGGGAGATTTGCAGCTCTCTAAACCATTGAAAATTTGTTCATAAATGCTATCAGTGTTTCAGGCATTCCGATTTTGAAGCCTGCTGTATTATTTTCTTTCAAAAAAATCCTGCTTTGTATTAGGAGGGGTTTTAGAAAAGGAGGATATTATTCCTTTTGCTTCTCTAAGGCAAGGCTGGTGTCTTCCATGAGGAGGAATAGCATCTCTGCTGAGTTTCATGTTCTAAAAGGCTCTAACTGTGGTGTCCTTAACATGTGCATAACTTGCTGATGTTTCCATGGCAATCCTAAGGTATTGCAGTCACCTGTGTGACTGCTTGGGGTGCCACAGATTTCTCTGGTCTGACTTCCCTTAGATTTCCCTGTAGCATCAAGTTAGAAATGTACATCTATGTGAATTGCTTGATTAGATTGGAGAAAAATCAAGGGGGGTACCTTCGTTCAAAAAGGTGTTGTAGAGCAGACAAATATTAAAAAGCTGCCTTTTATAAGCAAGACAGGATTCCTTAACCAGAACATGTGAAAAAGACAAACTCACACCAACCAGGGATTCCTAGGGGAGTTGTTTCTGGAAGTGCACAGTTATCCATCTCCTAAACCAGCTTCCCTTCATCTGCCAGTGTGTTTCTGTCTCAGTTCTTACCAAAGATCTGCTTTTTATTTCAGTATATTTCCATATCCTAGGTGATTGGGTTCTCTAGTCGGTCTTGAACAATTTCAATGTTTCCTAAAAATAAACACTTTTTGTGGCAGGTAGAGGCATTCAAGTGATCTGTTCCTCCTGGGTAAGTGAAGATCCCCTCGAGTTCACATTCTGCTCATGCCAAGTGCAAAAATAAAGCCCTGCTCCTTCTAGGACAACCCTTGTCTGAGAAACTACTTGAAGCATTTGATAGGGCAGTCCTCTATTAAAAAAAAATAAAAATAAAAGGAATGAAGATGAATAAGAAAATTTAACTCTGTCTGATGTTCTTTTCTCTTTTCGTATAGTCTTTTTTCTTATTGCACAATCACATGTGAAGTATTTCTGTTGATGCATTCATATTTCCTGTTATGATTAATCTTAAATTTACAAGTATGAAAAGGTGACTAGCTCTACAGAGATTAGCTCATGTCTGGTGCATGTAGCACTTCCAAACCTGTGTGTGAAAATAGCTTTTTCTAGCAGAATTGTTAATTCTTAAAAACATGTTCCTTTCTCTCACATGGTGGGGATACTCTAGTACTTGTTGTGCCACGCTAAAAAGATCTACTCTTAAATTAATTTCTTACTCAATCTGGCATGAAAAATAAATAACATTTCTAGCTCCAGCTTCAGTAGCACTTTGCTGAAGTCTTGGTTCCAAATGGCTCTGCTTTTCCAGGTGAAAATCCTGGCCCAGAATGAGAACAGCAGGCTGCAAGCTGCTCTTGTCAGCAACCTGAAGAGTGCGGTGACAGCAGCCTTCCTCATGCTGCCGGAGAGCTTCTCTGAAGAGGACCTTTACCTGCAGATTGCTGGACTCTCCTACTCTGGTGAGTGTGGGGGGTCTGAAGTGGCTGAGAAGAGCTACAATTGGAGCACAGTTGGAGTCTCTTGTGATTAATTATCTCCCTTCTTGCTTTGGACCTGCACTGCTGCATGCACCAAGAATTCTCTCTGAATGGTGCTTACATAACATCTCCAGTAATTGGGTTTATTCACAGGAAATAGGTGTAGCTACGCCAGCAGTGCTGCCTGTACCTGCTTGGTTTATGAGCAGCTAAGTGTGAGTGAATGGATATGATGAAATAGTGGGGGTTCTCTCCTGTTTGCATGGATTGTATTTTGGTGGAATGTTTCAAAACCTTGGGGGAAAAAAAAATTTCTTTCCACTCAGTGCAATGTTGAGTCATCTGATAGTCTGACTCATACCTTGTCATCTCTTTTTGAGTGTGCTGTGTTTAAGGTTCCTATATAGTTAAAGATCTTGATTATGATTCTTTGATTTACATTTAACACTCCTGGTTTGTATTTGTTGAGTTTGGTTTTTTTTAAGAAATTGGTAAGGAAAAATATTGAACAAACTACTGCAAATGGTTTTCAATATAAGATGTAATTGTTACAATTTAACTCATCACTGCTTTTTAAATGTTGACATCCTTATTGGAATTACTGTGACGGAGTTTGGTTGGAGTTGTACTTTACACAGCACTTCCTTGGCTCACACAGAAATGCAATTTTGGCTTTTAAGGGAAGCACAGAGAGGTCTAAGCTTGGCTGTTCTGAGGAGTGTCACTGTTTTATGTAACACTTCTCAGGGCAGTTCAGATTGCAGCTCACTTTTCCAGAGCAGTTCTCTCCTGAAGTGTTGCCTGTTTTAAAGCATCAGGAAGAGGGTGCTGACAGTGGGATTGCCAGCCAGAAATGTTCACTGCTTCTCTGCCCACCTAAAACCTGCCCACACTGGCACTGGATTCTTGCTGGGCACTAGTGACCAAGATAATTTTTTTATACTCTTTGAAACAGTGCAATTAAACAAAAGTCAGGAAAATGCTGAGACTGGCTGTGCTGTGTGAACAAAGCTGAAGCAACACAGCTCCCATCTGGGAATGTACAACCAAAAGGCTGCTTGTGGATATTTATTTTACTGCCATTTTGTTAAGTCTTTCAGAAGCTGTACTAGTAGACAAAATTGATTTTATGTGTTACTCTAATCAGTCTCCTTGGAGACTGCTGAAAAGAGTTGTTAATGCTTTAATTTAGAGAATGTTTATCTTTTATTTTTTCCTGCATTTTTTGAGAGCACTGAGTCAGTACCATTTATATGCGAAGTGCTTGTTTTGTGGCTTGGCATAAACTGAAATAAACTAAGGAAGGCTAGCAAGTTGGCACCTTTCAACAACATTTATCTCCTGAATGTGGGAAGTGGGAAAAGGAATTGATTCAGAATTTTGGTTGTTGATACAAGCTACACTGAGCATCCAACTCCTGGCTGGAAACCCAGCAAGCAGCCAGGCTGGTACCTAACAGAGGAGTGGAATGCTTTCATATAAACTCACTGGCTTTTCATTTATTCTATTTGAAACTTCTCAGTCATGTATCTGAAAAGAAAGTGTAAAGGCCAGTAATGTAACAGTGGTGTTCAAAGGAATTGCTTTTTGAAACTACACAGCACTTGGCTAAACGGAAGAGTGATCCAGGGATCTTACCTGACTGCTGTTAGCTGAACTCCAGGTACTGCACTTGGAGTGTGGAAACAATGCAAATTATTACCGCTCAAACTGGAAAATGTCAAATGGCTTCTGGATACAAAGTATGAGGAGTGGGCAATTTGTTAGTAATTGTTGAGATTGAGGTATGGTGCAGACTGTTACTGTTACTTGACAGCTGGAATTATTTTGTTTCCAAGTGAAGATCTAGACACATAGGCTGATGACATTTTATCAGAGGCCGCTTAACCTTTGCCTTCAAGGACATTTTTTCTATGCTTGAAGCTGTTTGAATAGTTTTTTTGACTCTTAAAAGATTATTATTGTGGATTATATTGACATACACAATATTGGAGAATAGAGTTTTAGATGGCAGCTCTGTACTATGTTGATTTCTATTACATTCTCCTTCATTTTTTTGGGGTTTTCCTAATGGCTTAACTCTCTCTTTTCCTGCCTAGGTGATTTCAGAATGATAATAGGAGAAGACAAATTCAAAGTGCAGAACATAGTGAAACCCAACATTGCCCATTTCCAGAAGCTGTACAGTACCATACTCCAGGACTGCCCTCAAGTGGTGTACAAGCACCATCTGGGAAGGCTCGAGGCAAGTATTCTCCTTCTAAACAGCTCTAAAACAAGCAAGTGCTTCATCACTGACAGAAGGCAGGAATTATGCCATGCACCAGGAGAGCAGTTGTAGTCTCTGTGCTTGCTGTTTGTTATGTTTCTGTTGTTTAGTTAATTCTGCAGCCAGCAGAGTTGCCTTAAATGCCAGGTTTTTCATATGGAGGAACTACTGCTCATTTTCTCTGAGCACAGAATAGACCCCAGCAAGGGAACCAGAGCAGATCATTGTAAAATGTGTGTTCTAATGGCTTCCACATGGAAATAACAGGCTAGGAAGTGAGGAATAAACAGATGGTTTGTGTTGGAGAGATGAGGCTGTAACTCAGAGGTGCAACTTTCTGCAATCAAAAATACATCTCACAAAAAAAACTCCTCAAGTTCTAGCTTTGAAGATTACCTGACTAAACTCAAGTGAAATTCTGGCATTAATACCCACACAGAACCATTTTCCCTTGGCTTTTTGGGAAATCCAGAGTGGCCAATATCTTGAATTCCATCTTTCTGGTGTAACATTGCAGTTAGGGGAGAGATGCCACAGTCAGTAGCAATTTTTCCTTTTGTAATCTGCATGTCCCCGAGTGAATATTCAAGTGTGATATAAACCTCAAATAGCACCACTTGTCTCATGGATGTGGGCATCTCTTTATCCTCAAGCCTTGGTAATTCTCTCCCAAATGCCGCCTTTTAGGATGTGTCTTTGCTAGAAATTCATTTAACTGCAGGCTTGAGTACTGTAATCAGTTTCACTGCAATGCTTTGGGGTAAAACACAGGCAAACTTGTATTATCCTGCAGCTGTCTCCATGTTTTCGTATTGCATCTGAAAAGTTTGGTGGAAGCAATATTTAAATGAATTTGGGAAGGAATTAGTAACACTTCCTTAACAAAAGAATTCCTTTAAACAAGTCCTGGTAGCATACTGCAAATTTATTGCTGGATAATAAATCTCTCCACAATCCCATAACAGTCATCAAGACTGCTTCAAATCAACAGCAAAATGAGGGCATTTAATCAACAAAGTGTTTAATACTTTATTGCTCACACCTTCCTGTGGTTATTGGCAGTTACTGCCCAGCCTGAGGTGGCTGAGTGCTGTTGGGGATGCAGTTAACAGAACAGACCACCCTTCTCCAGGAGATGCAGGGCTACAGAGAAAATTCCTTTTTCAGGGGTCCCTCAGAAGCAAGGGAGGCAGAGCTCATCTCTGAGCTCTGCTTGAGGCATGGATTCCTCCCACACAGTGCTCAGAGCCGCTCCTGAGGTGCCTCTGCAGTTGTGGCTGACTCATCTGGAGATCATTTTCTCCACACTGACAAAAGGGAGTGGAGAGGGCAACCAGGCTCCTGCCTGATGGCTCCATGAAGTGGCTAAAACCTTGTGTGGGAGGAATGGAGCTCTTCAGATTTTCCTCCTCTTTTGGCGAGCTCTGCCCCATTGTGCATTGCATTTTGGAGAAATCTGTCCAGGCTTGCATGTTGGTATCATTGTATTCAAAAAAGGCTCGTTGGATTTCTGATTTAGATTGCAAAATGTGGGATGAGTGTTTTCTTCAAATTATACAAACCAGATGTGCTTCAGAGTTTAAAGCAGAGAAAATGGTTTTCAGGCTAAACTTGAAGTGTGTGTGTGTGTGTCTGCAGTTTGATTATATTCAGGCAGAAGAAACTCAGCTGAAGGGTCTTCTGGGAGCTTTTTTTTATTGTCCTGTACTTATGTTACCAAAGGAAATTGGATACAACAGAAATTATACAATTTCAATGAAAATTTACTTGCAGACACAGCAAGATCATATGTGTCTTCCTTTGAATAAAAACCCTCGCACTGAGTCATTCTTCAAGTTGAAAACTGAGATGCTGCATTTCTCCGTGCTTGGGAAGTTTTTATTAGCATTGTCAAGGGCCTTTTCTAGTGAAATGGATCAGGTTCTGTGAGATATTTATCAGAGGTCAATTTTCTGACTTCTTAAAAAAAAAAAAAAGAGAACTGAATGTTTTTAATGTCTTACTTTTATAACATTTAGATTGATAAAAGTCCAGAAGGTCAATTTACACAACTTATGGCTTTGCCAAAGACTCTGCAACAAAAGATAACTGCTATAGTAAACCCTCCTGGAAAGAACAGAGACGTGGAAGAAATTTTACTGCAAGTTGCCCATGACCCTGACTGTGGATTTCTGGTGCATCAAGGTAGGTCTGGAGCAATGTCTGTAATCTCCTTTAAGGCATGATAGATACACAGTTCTATTGTGTATGTTCTATTTCAGGCGGGCTATGGAGAAGGATGGGTTAAAGAGAAGGGTGAAAAATCCAGGAGATTAATCATGAATACATTCCTGAAAGCCTGGGTTTGGATTTGACTGCAGACAGGTTATCTGAAATATTATCAGTAGCATTCTCAGGGATACAGAAAGATGTGTTTTGGGAAAGAGGCAGAATTTAAGGGATAATAGTGCAGCCTGCTTAGATCACCTAACTCTGGTGCTTCCTTCTTCAGGCAAACTTCATCAAAATACTGAGCTTTATATCCTCCCAGTCATAGATTGCAAGGCTGAGGTAATTTTCTGACTTGCTGACATTTCCTTTGGCAGTCACCATGGTTAGCCCAGACATGTGAGCCCTGGCACAGAGCTCCAGCTTAGAGGGAAAAGGCTGAGGTGCTTCTCATCAGCACAACTGCTCTGAGGCAACATTATGTCATATGAGCAAGTTAAAGCTGATGCCGCAGACACCAATGTTCTGCCACGCTGCAGGAAAATGAAAATGTTTAGTACTTGGGGTCCTTAATGCATTTGAAGAACCTGGCACATTTTCTGTTCCAGGCAGTAAATTTTGCAAGCTCTCTGAGCACAGCAAAAATTCCCAAGAAACCTGGGAGCCACTGGGCACTAACCAGGGAGCTGAGGGAGCTCTCAGCCTGATTTCTGTTGGGGAAATAAAGCTCCTGGGTGCTGCAGTTCTCCATGAGCTGCACCTGGACATGGAGGAGTTCAGCTTCTTTCTTGGGCTGGGCTCAGCCAGTACAGGGCTAAAAGCTGGTCTGGGAGCAGGGAGCAGTGGTTGAGCTGCACCCAGAGCTCTGCTGGTGCTGTGGTTGTATTTCTGTAGCTGTGGCTGCACAGGGAGCAGCAGTGCAGCACCAAACTGGACACGTCTTCCCAGGCCCTGCACTTTAAACTCTTAGGAGAACACATCAAGATACTCTTCCACTTTTGTGGCCACAGCATTTTCCTAATTCATCAGTCTGGGTAAGGGCCAGGCCAAGCCATTTGGGAATCCTACAAGACAGAGCTGATTACTCAAGTTGAATTGCATTGTCCCAAAATATTTTGCTACATCAAAACAATTTCTTCCTTTCCCTTCCCTATTCCTACCCCTCAAGTGATTGTCCAGTGGAATATTGTATCCTGACTTATACATGGATTATGCTTTGTTCTTCAATATGGAAGCAGTATTTAAAAATACTTGAAATTATATCCTATGGGTCAATGCAGGGTGTCAGTTTGGAAGATTAGCTCTGAGACTGCTGCAGTTCTGCATTTCTTTCAAGTATTTAGTAATGTGACTAATTTTTTACATATCAGTATGCTTTCATATGTGTTAGAACAAATAGAACTTCATAGTTCTGAAAAAAATGTAAGATTTTTTAAACTGTTCTATTAAGAACCCCTGGACAATGACAGCTGAATGTGCCACAGTGCAAAGTGGTAATCAAGCCTTGTCTCCAAAAGCTGTAATTTAGAAAAGCCAGGGAAGAGCTGCACAATAGAGGTATTTCTGCTTGATCAGAGAAGTGCCAAATCCCAATTTCATGTTGAAGTAAACAGGGAGTATCATTTGTTCTGCTCTAGAACGTTAATTTACCAGCACTTAGATGAAACAACTCTGCATCTTGTGATTAATCATCTCAGTAGAGAGCTAATGGGAGCACTAAATAAATTGATTTGATCAATTCCTACTGCTTGTTGTCTGTTTTAATACTGATATGGGTTTTCTTCTGTATGTTACATATAAAAGAAATTAAAATAGTTCAGAGTATACTTTTAATTAGTATGAAAAAGCAGAGCAAACCCAAATTTTCGCAGTGTATGTTTTACTTTCAGGCTAGCTTGATTCTATAACTGGACCAATATTTAACTTGTGCATGGTGGAGAGGAAAAAAATCCCCACACAAGTGCTGAGATGGGTAACATCTGTGTGCTTTTCCCTCTGCAGGCATTTCAGGAATTGTGAGATCCTCCAGTATAGTGCAGAGTGCTAAAACCATCCTGACAGCTGGTAAGAATGTGTGGGATTTCTATCAACGTGGACCTTCTGATTTCACACATAAAAAACTACTGTCTTGTTACAGGAGTTTAAAGAAGAAATTTTTGTGTGTTTCACTAAAAGTCCTCAAAAAACAAAAGCAACATTTAAAACAGAGGCTTTCTTGCAAAATTATGAAATGCTGAAAGGGACTGGAGTTTGTGTGACTCTTAAATTAACAAACCAAACAACAACATCAGCTTTCATTGTCTCTGCCTCTGGATCTGTGCAGAGGAGATTTTGTGGAGCAAAATAATTGGAATGGAGAGGTTAAAACCAGTGTTATTCCTGTCGAATTCAAGTTATTCTCTCTACCTGTGGGGCAGAGCTGGGTAAGTGCAGGAGCAGAACAGAAGTGGTTAAGCTGTGGGGATTATTTCTGCTCTGTTCCTCCTGTTCTGATGGGCAGCAAATCTCTTCTGGGGCTGCTTAGCTCCCCTGTGTGTGTCACTGCAACCTCGCCTGGCACTGGCACTTTGGGGGTCCTCATGGGTCTCTGAGTAACCCTTGGCATTTTTATCAGGGTTTCTGCCTCATGCACCTGAAATCACTTATTTGGGAAATGTCTCTATGTCCCTTGGTCTTAACTGCTTTTTGCTTTATATATAGTGGCTTTTTTCTCTTTCAAACAAACTGTAGTGTCCGTCTAATCAGTTATCTAGAGTTGTATTTAAAAACTATTTTCTACTAATGGTTTTTGTAGTGGAAACATATTTTTGTGAATTGATTTAGGTAGAGCAAAACAATTTTGGGCATTTGCCTCCAGCACAAGCCAAATTTGAGCAAGGAGGCTTGGGGGAGTAGATTTTTCTTACTTTTTGCATGATTTAGGGTTTTTTTTTGGGGGGGAGAAAGTTTGGGGCTTTTTTTTAATGTATTTACACTTCTCTGCCAGAACCTAGTGACAGACTTCAGGAGTGAAATTTACCTGCTCAGGGATGTCACCTCAGTGTTTTTGAGGTGTGATGTTTGTGTGATCTGCCCTGGAATTGAGGAGGGATGGGTGTCCATGGCTTTAGAGTTAATTAGCAAAAACCTTTTGCCCTTTTTTTTTTTTTTTTTTTAATATTTGTCTCCAAACACTTATGACTGAGTTTATATTAAATCTGTCAGTACCTTCTAATGAAGATTCTCTCCCAGTCATGGTTTCTTAATTGAAAATGCATCACTGGGGCAGCATCCCTGGCTGTGCCATCTCTTGTGGCTCTCCATGTTCATAAGATACAGAATTTACACAGAGAAAACAGGAATGTGGCTCCTGCATGGAAATATTTGCTTGACTCGGGAAGGAATGTGTCTTACAGGAAAGTGTGGAGCTTTACATTCAGTCCCTAAGGATGCTGCATTTCTTTATTCCTCTTCCAAATCTTGTCTAATATTCTGTCCCCCTAAGACCTATTTTCACACTTTCTAGTAGAGACTTTAGGAAAAATATAAGGCTCTGACTTTCTGCAGTGCTTCTGTCAGGAATAGTCGCTTGAAATAATTATGAAAGACAATCATGAAATCTGTGGCTCCATTAAGCTTTGACTTTTTATTGCTGTTCCTAATAACTGTACAAATACTTTACTTGCAAAAGAACATTTTCATTAGCTGGCCATCGCTCTTTTTGAAGTGTTCTAGGGGACACATATGTTTTCTTTAGCTGATTGTTTTATCTTAAGTACACCAGCAAAGGTGAGATGCCTGCTCTGGTCTACAGCATGGCAGTGCAATGTCCAGCGTTTCTAAATTCAATGGTAAATCAGCAATAGCTGTACTGATTTGCCATGCTGGGTATGAACATTACTGGCAAGGAGCACAAGAAAGAATTTCAACCCATTTAAGATAACTTTTCTCATCTTTCTCTGCCAATTTGTTTTTCAAGTGGAGCCCCAGCTCTGTGTTTTTGTTTGTTGTTAAATGCCCTATTTAGTTTTTGAAAATGTGCCTGTGTATTTCTTTAAGGCTGTGGTGAGTTTGCCTCTCTGTTTCCCATTAGAGATGGCACCAGGGTTTGATTTGTTTTCCCACATAGCCAGAGCCTGCCTGGGCTTTGGGAACTCACTCTGCAACTCTTATATTTAGCTCCTCTGAAGCTTCTTTCTTCTTTATATTTTACTCAAGCAATGCTGCAAGCTTTGAAAAGTTTTCTATAAATACAGTCTTACAGGTTAAATCATCAATTTCTCCAAGATACTTTTAAGTTAGCACAAATGTTCTAAATATTATTTGTTTTCACTCATTCAAATATTTTTTTTTAAGTAGCAAGTTTCATTTGTTCAATATACTTTTAAGTTAGCCAAATGTTCTGAATAGAATTTGTTTTCAAGGATATTTTTTTTAAGGTTTGCATATCAAATATTCTGGTTTTGTGATAAGTACTCTCTTCAGCTCCTGACCAGATAACTGCTGGCTTCACTGTAAACTGTGCATGCCGAACTACAAATACATAATTATTTCCTCCACATGACAGCTGTCCATCCATCCAAAGGAAATCCAGGACACTGCAGCCAGGCAAACCTTGCAGGACACTTTGGGGACTCCCATCCAAACCCTGTCTTACAGCACCAAAAACCCTGTCTTAGACCACTTGCAAAAAGCTCAGCGTGGATCCTTAAGTGAAACCAGACACGGGTTGTGTTTACACAAACGCTGTGGGCTCGGTCCCATGTGCATCACGGCTTTGTTCTGTGTCCTAGAGTGGAAAAATCTAAAGGGGAGGTGGAACCACCGAGTCACAGATTCAGAGCTGCAGTAAAAGACTTTTTCATGTGGTCCAAGTGCTTCGGATTCTGAGAGAGAGCCGTAATTACGGCAATTAACTTTTCCTGCAGCTGTGATTCATCAGCCCAAGGCTGCTTTGGGAGCAGCTGAGCTGGGTGAACAAACCTGCGCTGGGGCAGCAGGGTGAGCAGCTCCTTCCGTGCCCTGGGTGGAGCTCGCAGGGACCAGAACGGTGTGCAGGCTGGGAGCAGCAGTGTGTGTGTGCAGGATGAGAGCAGCAGTGTGTGTGTGCAGGATAACAGCAGCAGTGTGTGTGTGCAGGATAACAGCAGCAGTGTGTGTGTGCAGGATAACAGCAGCAGTGTGTGTGTGCAGGATAACAGCAGCAGTGTGTGTGTGCAGGATAACAGCAGCAGTGTGTGTGTGCAGGATGACAGCAGCAGTGTGTGTGTGCAGGATAACAGCAGCAGTGTGTGTGTGCAGGCTGGGAGCAGCAGTGTGTGTGTGCAGGCTGGGAGCAGCAGTGTGTGTGTGCAGGATAACAGCAGCAGTGTGTGTGTGCAGGATAACAGCAGCAGTGTGTGTGTGCAGGATGACAGCAGCAGTGTGTGTGTGCAGGCTGGGAGCAGCAGTGTGTGTGTGCAGGATAACAGCAGCAGTGTGTGTGTGCAGGATGACAGCAGCAGTGTGTGTGTGCAGGATGACAGCAGCAGTGTGTGTGTGCAGGATAACAGCAGCAGTGTGTGTGTGCAGGCTGGGAGCAGCAGTGTGTGTGTGCAGGATGAGAGCAGCAGTGTGTGTGTGCAGGATAACAGCAGCAGTGTGTGTGTGCAGGATGAGAGCAGCAGTGTGTGTGTGCAGGATAACAGCAGCAGTGTGTGTGTGCAGGATGACAGCAGCAGTGTGTGTGTGCAGGATGAGAGCAGCAGTGTGTGTGTGCAGGATAACAGCAGCAGTGTGTGTGTGCAGGATAACAGCAGCAGTGTGTGTGTGCAGGATAACAGCAGCAGTGTGTGTGTGCAGGCTGGGAGCAGCAGTGTGTGTGTGCAGGATAACAGCAGCAGTGTGTGTGTGCAGGCTGGGAGCAGCAGTGTGTGTGTGCAGGCTGGGAGCAGCAGTGTGTGTGTGCAGGATGACAGCAGCAGTGTGTGTGTGCAGGATGACAGCAGCAGTGTGTGTGTGCAGGATGACAGCAGCAGTGTGTGTGTGCAGGATAACAGCAGCAGTGTGTGTGTGCAGGATGACAGCAGCAGTGTGTGTGTGCAGGATGAGAGCAGCAGTGTGTGTGTGCAGGATAACAGCAGCAGTGTGTGTGTGCAGGATGACAGCAGCAGTGTGTGTGTGCAGGCTGGGAGCAGCAGTGTGTGTGTGCAGGATAACAGCAGCAGTGTGTGTGTGCAGGATAACAGCAGCAGTGTGTGTGTGCAGGATAACAGCAGCAGTGTGTGTGCAGGATGAGAGCAGCAGTGTGTGTGTGCAGGATGACAGCAGCAGTGTGTGTGTGCAGGATGAGAGCAGCAGTGTGTGTGTGCAGGCTGGGAGCAGCAGTGTGTGTGTGCAGGCTGGGAGCAGCAGTGTGTGTGTGCAGGATGACAGCAGCAGTGTCTCCCTGTAGGCTGCCCTGCCTGCACCTTTCCTTGCAGTCCTGCAGCAGCTGTGCTGCGGTGGATCTGCCCCATGATGCTCTGCACTTCCAGAAGCTCCTGGTATTCCCTGGAATGACAGAGCAGCTGTTCCTCTCTCAAAGGGGCTGCCTTGTGCAGTCTGGGCATTTTCAGAGCCACCCTTCTGTAATTTTAACTGTTGTCATTTGTGCTGTGCCCGAGCTCAGCCTGGCTTTATGCTGCTGCAGGAATTGTTGCTCTGTGTGCAATCTCCATGCAGATTTGTCAGCCACTACAGGATTTACATGGTTATTTATATGTTATTTGAGATGCTGCAAAGAAAAACCTGTCATGACTTCATTAGTGTGCTTGCTTTTGCAAAAATCTAGTAAGGATGGAAAAGTTGGAGCCTACATATGGGATGCACATGGGTTTGTCAGTTCAAAATACATGTATAGATATTCTCCTATCAAAGGAGAAGTTGAGTTTATTTAAATTGCAGTTGGAGACATGAGAAGTGCAGAACTGATTTTCTGCAGTCTATTTGTTATCAGAGGCTTTCTTACTCTGTTACATTCCTTCAGAAATGAGTGTGTACTTTTCCTTCTTGCTGCCAACTAATTTGTCTGCTTGCAACATGAATTTGAATGCATCTATCACTTAAAGTATTATATCTTTAATAGATTTCTTTCTTTCACTTTCCTTTTTTTTTTTTTTTTTTTTTTGAGGTCTTTCTAAATCAGATATTATAATGTCCCTCCCACTCACCCCCAAAAAAAAATAAAGAAATCCACTGCAGTACATGGCTAAACTTGGCTTGACGGTCCTTGTTTGTTGCAAATCTTTCCTTGTGTTCTGGGCTGTGACTTTTGGCTAAATTCCTTGTGTATTTTTAGTCTTGTCAGGTGTTCAGTTCAATAAATGTAGGAAAGAATGTAGTAAATGTAATCTAGTACACCTTTAAACTGTGCATGTGTCAAAATTAGAGCTTTTTCTGCAGCACTAAAAAATTTCCTTTTCAGTTCTGAATTTCTAAGGGTGTGATTAGACTGTGCTGTAATCTGAGCAGTCACTCTGTGTGTTTTCGGTTCATGTGTTTGGTTTGGGGTGATTTTTTTAAAACAAGAAAAAGAAAAGCAAGTAGCTGCACAAACTGGGATCTCAGAGCCCCCCTGAAATGCCAGGACTAGGAGTGTTTTGTTTTTAAATTTACAAATACTCTGTGACTAAACCCAGCAAAAGGCTGTGGGTTTTTTTCTCTAGGTCTGTAAGAGAAGGTTCATCTCTGCTAGAACTTCAGAAATTGTTTAACTCCAATGATCAATTTTACAAATTTTGTGTGAGTCATCCTCAGTCCATCATATCTAAAACTCATAAATGCTTGGAGGCAGCAAGTGCTGCTGGACCTCTGAAAACTGAGATGTCTGCCTTTATTGTATGCCATGGCTTGGTATTTACCAGAATTCTGCTCTATATGCTCTGTTTTGATAGCATTAAAAGTGTTTTTGGTGGCATTATTTACTGTGATCTGACTGTGACAGGAAGGTTATTTGCATGTCTGCCTGCAGGATTAGGCTGTCATTCCCCCAGGGAAAGCCTTCATTTGATGCACTAAGCACCTTCTGGTTGAGTCAGCCTTGCTAAATGTTGATGTTTTTTCTCTTTGTCCTTCTTTTTTAGGGGCAAAGAAATCTGTGATTTACAGTTTGAAGAAATTATTTAAGATGACAAAGGGAGGGTTAAAGAAGACATCTTGAGTCTCCACATACTGTGGATGGGTAAATAAATAGTACTTTTTCTCTAAATGTTTTGCAGATGTGACTTTGCATGCTTGAGAAGATTACAGTGTATTTAAGAAGTCTGTTCTGATGATTTACATGCCCAATTTTCTTAATGAAATAGGGACTTTTTTAATGGGAAGTTTGTTGTCAATAGGGCAAAGGAATTATACAGGAAATAAATTTTCCTGTGTATTTTGAAGAACCCTAAGTAAAAAAGATTGATTGTACAGATGGATTAAATCCCAAAGTGACTAATTTCTTATGTGTTGGTAGCTTTGCTTCCCAGAGTACCCTCAGAGTCTCAAAATGATCAATATCCCAAATGTAGTTCTTTTAGGGGCTTACAGAACTGGAGAATCCATTGAGTTTTCAGTAGAGATGAAACTGCCCTCTGACATTCCTGCCCTGACAGGTTCATCCTTGGAATTCCTCTGAGGATGCTCCCTGTGGCATCTTGAATCCCAAAAACTGCCACAGTGACTTTCACTGGGGGAGAGGGAAAAGAGCAGCTTGGCAGGTGTCACATCCTTTAATAAGGATATGTAATAATATTAACAAATAAGGATATTTAATAATAATAAAATGGTGTGTTCCTCTCGTGAGGCTGAGATGAAAAGTGCCCAATTCATGGGCATTGACACAAGGGCCAGAGCTGGAAGGAAATCAGAATTCCAGGGATCTCTTTGGGCAGATTTATGCAATATTTGTTGTTTGGCAGAAGATTCCATCTAAACACTTGAAAATTTGAAATATTATGAACAAAAGCACAGGTTGGTTAATTCTTTGATTGTCTTTTTTTTCCCTTAAGATACTGCCCACAAAGATGAAACTTGAACTGTCTTTAACTTAGCTAAACTAAAGAGAATTGGAGTTGTTACATTAATCATGCCATAAAAAAAATGGGCATTGCTGGCAGTATCCATGTCTGGTGCAATAAGGTGGAAGGATCTTTTGTAAATTGAATATTTTTCACACTGACTCAGATGGGCTTGCTAATTTGGGAAATTTTCCTTTATAGAAATACACTCAGCTAAGATTTCATTTTCCTTGTGAAAATGTCAATGATACAAATAATTTAATGGTAAAGAAAGGAAATAAAATGTATTTTTCCTGATCAGCATGTTTGGTTTTTTCCTTATGTATTATGTGATCATCGGGGCCATCTCTCAAGGTACATTTGATTTAGAGATCTCGCTTTAAAAAAGAAATTATTGCAGTGAAGTTGTCTGGTAATTGTTTCCAGGGAGAAGTTCAGAGCATAAATTTAAGACAGACAATAGAAAATACATTGTTGTATGTAATAGGACTCATTTAATCACAGGGACTTGGTTAATCACAGGGAAACTTTTAAATATTGATTATTTTGAAGTATTTGAATTTGAAATTTTAATCCAGACGCAGAAAATAATTACTGTGAAATAGGAAATAAATAATTGGAAACTTTCTAACGTCTGAGGCAGGTTCCTCACACTTTGCATTATCCATTGGTGATAGAATGTGTAAAACAAATCCCCTCAAATGTCCCTTTGCTGATGCTACAACCTTTTTATGGGGGCAAAGAATGTTTGTATGGCCCTGGCAGTCTCTGGCCCTATTAGTAAGAGGCCAAAGTCCCAGTTTGAAAAATTTTTATTATAAAAAATGGAACTAGGGGATTTAAGCCATTTCCAGGTAAATCTGGATTTTTTTAATAATGAAATGCAGTTGCTAGCATTTCAAAGCAGCTTTCTTGTAAAAGCTCTTTGCAGTAACGTTAAAGAGAATATTCTGAATGTTACAGACACACTTAAAAGGAAGGGGGTTTGGTGTTTCTGAAGGTGCTGGCTACTGAAGTGGTGGTTCAGAACATTAGAGGGCAGTGACAAATCAGTCTGGTGTGAGATGAGCTGGCCTCACTCCCACAGTGGAACCCCAGGCTCCATCCTGCACCTTGCTGCCTGAGCATTTATCCCGGAAATAATGTTCTTGTGGGGAGAAGGAATAAAAAGTGAAGTACTGCTGGCTGTTTAGCAGCTAATTAACTCTTTTTATGTGCAGCAGCTGCCTGTGTGTCAGGCCCTGCCCAGCTCGGAGCTGTTTGTCACTGTCACTCTGCCAGAGGATCCCTCTGTCCCTGCACAGGTGGGACTTTACTGCACTTCCTGGAACCTGAGCTGCCTGTGTTTGGCTTGTGTTGCTGGATACCCACTGCAAGGCTTGGTTTGGCTTTATGAACTCTGTGTACAGCAATATAAGAAGTCATTTCTTGCTCTTTGGAGTGAGTTTTGCAAATCCCAGCTCGATAGTTCCCGGTTCCCTCCATCTGTTGATGCACTGCCAATGTCCAAGTCTGTGCACTAAATCTTTGGGAGATGTAAAAAAGTCCTTCCTCCTCATCCATATGGGCTGCAAACTCGATTCTGCTCTGTAAATCATTCATCTTGTGCTTTTTAAGAGTGGCCTACCTCTCCCCTTGGGGCCACTGGTCTTGAATGTATTTATTTTTCTGGCAGAGAGCCACGAATGAATCATAGCCCTGAGCAGCTCGTTGTGAACTCCTCACCATTGTTAAGAGAGTACTTGGGGCAGTTGTTACAGAGCTTTGCTATGTAAAACTTTTAAGAGAAGAGAGATTGATTTCAGCCTTGTTAGCTGCTTTTGAAGTCCCCACCAGTTTTGTGGAAATGATTTCTTCTGCTCTTACAGCTGTAATCCACTAAAATAACCGGGGATTGTTGCACGGGAAGTGGGACATGGGAATATGTTACTGCCTCTTTGTCCTAATGAGGTGTGGTTGTTCTTTCACCAAAAAAAGTCACTTCAGCCTTTCATTCCGTTTGTAACTTTCCTGTTTGTACCTTCCTGCTCCATTTCCATACTTTATTGTTTCTCTTCTTGACTTAATTCTCAAGTCTTTCATTCTGTTCTTCAGACATCCCTCTTTTCTGGCTTGGCTGTTCCACCATGGATATTGTTTCATGTTCCCTCCTCCTTTTTCCTGTGTAGCAGAGCTTTCATTAAAGGCAACCAGGCAGATGATTTATTTCTGATGTCTGAAAAGGCTTCTTTGTAATGAAGAGCCTGGACCCAATCAAACTGCTGAGGGTTTGTGTAGGTGAGTCAGCAGCATGGGCCTCACTGCCTCTGAGATCCACAGGGGAGCGTGGAACAGCCTCCTGCTCCAGAGGGAATGAACTGGATGACACAGGAAGAAGGGGAAATCAAAAAATCAAAAATGTGACTGCATACATAATCATCTGGCTGCTCCTGAACCCGGTTTGGGGAGGGCACAAAGCTGAACCACACAGGCTGCTGACCTCCATCAGCACATGTATGACGTGTTCCTCCTTGCTTGCACGTTTCCCCTTTTCCAAGTGCTGGAACAGGGAGTTTCTCCAGGTGCCTGACTGTGGGACCCTCCAAATTCCAGCTGTATCTGTAGGTGCAGAGCCTGTATTTCTCACCTGTGCTTCCCTGAGGCTTCCCTTTAGGTTTTGTTGACCTTCACTGTCAGCAAATGGGAGTCACTGCTGCAGCCTGAGCACAAGGAAGGTGCCCATGGGCAGCTGGGCTGGGATCCCTTCCTGGCAGAAGCACTGTGCAGCATCCCTGAGCTTCCTGGTGTTTGCAACAAGCAGCTGTGCCAAAATTGGAAAGATCAAGATGGACACAGAGGCCAGGATTGCTGGGTGGCTGAGGGAGCTGAACCTTGTTCTTCGCTCCGAGGTGCTAAAGCAGGAGCCTGCTCTGGCCTGGGAAAGCTCAGAATGAACACAGCCCTTGGTGAGTGTCCAGTGCAGGGGGATCCAAGCAGGGCTGTGACTCATGCCTTTTCCCAGCAATTAATTCAAAAATAGAATTGGAGTTGAAATATGCTCTGAAGGTCAGAATATCAGGGCAGTGTGTGCCTGATGGTTTTTCCTGGGGAAGGTGTTGAGAGAGGACAAAGTATTCTTCATTTTCAAAGTCACTCTGCTGGCTGTATAGTCTGTGTAGAAAATGAATTTTCTTTGTATTCCCTACTGCAGTAAAAAGAGACATTACCTCCATATAGCTATTTTCTGCTCTGCTTTTTGTTTGACTCAAAAGTTGCTCTGTCACGTTTGGTACTGTGGTTTCACAAAGTTTTGCAGTGACCTTATTTACCTGTTTTTTTAGATAAAAATCTCCACCGCAGTTGCTAACTGATCCTGAACTTAACGAGTGCCTTAGGGAGAGGCAGTAATCACTTTACTCCTGCATGTTTTAACCTCTTACTCAGCCTGCTTCAATCAGAAATGTTTAGAAATGGATTAAGTTTTACTGCATGAATAGGAAGCTTCACACTATACATTCTGAAATAATTCATGCAAATTCCAAATATTTTATTCACATCTTTAGTCTAAGAACTTCCATGCAATTTTTGCCTTCATAATCTGGCATTCTGCCAAGCCCTTTCCAGTAGTGGTGGGGACTGTTTGGATGGTTATACACATTTTTTTCTGAGAAATGAAAGGTCTTGCAGCTGCAAGCACAGACTGAAAATCTCTGCAAGTGTAGTGGGTATAGAGGGTTCTTCCCCATTTTAAATTTGACTAAATTTGGTATTGAGGAGTTTGCAGCCACAAGGAGCTATCTTTTAAAGCAAAACGAAGCAAAAACTGACCAAGAACAAACATTCTATGTTTTGGTTCCTTCTCTTCCCTTTGTTGTACTGATACCTTCTTTAAAAGCCCTGAACCTAATAGTTAAGATACCTCCCCTAGTGAATTAAATAAGCCAAGTAAATAGTAAAACATCACATTATTGAATTAATTTGTATTACTTCTCTACATGGGATCTCTTTAGCTCCACAGTGCACTTGGTAAATTTGAAAGCTTGTGTTCCCACACAGTGATTATTTGCTTAATCTCTGCCTCCTGCCAAAGCTTCTCCAAACCTCCCATTTTAAAATTCATAGTGAAGCATGGGAGGGGAGCATTCAGTGGGTTTTTTTGGTTTCATTTGTGGTTTTGGTTTTTGCTTTTAATATTGCCATCCTGAAGTTGTCTTGCTCTCAGCAGAGGTGAAGGGTCTGGCTCGCTCTCTGTACAGCAATGAGAGCCAAGAAGTTTTTTCCCTTCCTAGGATGCTTCAAGAAGGGCTGCCACAGAGCAGCTCCCAATGTCTACCTCATGATGCTGTCACTGTGCTTTGGCTTTACAGCCCGGAGCAAAGCTTTTTAAAACCAAATTATTTGCACAAGAAATTCTAGGCATTTTATTTTCTCTGTTTCTTTCCCCTCGTTGCCTCCCAAGTCTGGGGTTGGGTGAGCTTGTGCTCTTCCTGCACACCCCTGTTTTAACTCTGTCCCTGCAGCCCTGCCTGAGATTCCTGCCAAGGAGGAGACTGAGTCAGCAGCACTTTGGCAGTTTGAAGGTGAGTTCCCTGCAGATAACAGTAGATGATGAAATCCATCACTGCACTTTTAGTTCTTACAGCATTTTAAAGTGGATTATATTTAAGGGTTGTATTCACACAGCAGCTTTTAAAGCAAGGTTTGGTTTATTTTGCTTTATGGTTTTGTTGTTTATCTGTGACTAATTTAGCAGGATTCCCTTTCCAGTATAGAACTGAAAACTGGTGTGTTATTTTTATTAGAGAATCAGAGGATAATTCTGGTTGGAAAAGCTCTCCCAGACCACTGAGTCCAGGCTGTGCCCAATCCCCACCTTGTCCCCAGCCCAGGAGTGCCACATTCAGGAATTCCTTGGACATCTCCAGGGATGGGCACTCCAAACTCCCCTGGGCAGTTCCAGTTCCTGAGCACCCTTTCCATGGGGAAATTCCTGCTGGTGCCCACCCTGAGCCTGCCTTGGCACAGCCTGAAGCCTTTTCCTCTTGTCCTGTCCCTGTTCCCTGGGAGCAGAGCCTGACCCCCCCTCCATGAGCCATTTGGGGAAAAAACCCTGGAAAGGGCACACCTGGAAAGCTGAGGGGAGAGTCCCCTTGTCCTGAGGAGGTGGCTGACCTTAGTCCAGAAAGCTCAGTCAGGAAGAGTCCCAAGTCCTCAGGAATTAGCCAGATCAGGCTGTCAGAGCTGCAGAGCTGGCCCCAGGAACAGGGGGGGTGTTTGCATCCAGCAGATGTGACTGAGTTTGGTTCTTCCAGAGTGATTCCATGTGCATCCTTAGCTGATGGATGGATATTCCAAAGGGCTTTGGACACCATTTGGTGCCCAGTTCCTTCTGTCCAGTGATCTGCTGCTGGTGGCTTTGGTTTAGAAGAAATCCTGGTAACTGAGGAGCCTTTTCTTACAGCCTGCAAATGTATGGAAATTGTGTAGCTTACTATGAACTGATGTGGAAACTCTGAAAATAATTTTGCATCTCGTCCTTAGCTGCAACCTGGTTGTGATTTTAATGATCCCACTTGGACTGAAGTTCATCTGGTCCTGTGTGAGACAGGATGCAAATCAAATAGGGAGTGAAGTCTGTTATGTGGATGTTTACTGCATAAGGAAAAAGTGCATAATGAAGAGGTTACTCTGCATATTTACCTTCAGCTGTAGATCACTGACTGTACTGACCTTTCCCTTACACTAAATTTGCCATTTGGATTTCTGCTGTGAACCATCTGTGGTCTTTTTACCAGTGTTTAACAAAACTTTAACAAATTAAAGCCCGTGGGTTGTGGCCAGGGGTTGCTTTTAATTTGTTAATCTGACACTCCTTATGTATTTAATTTTTTTCAGCTATCTTGTCTGTCTTCATCTTATGGGAACATCCATGGGGTGAAATCTTTTCTAGAACAAAGCAAGCAAAAAGTACCTGTGGTTAAATGTTCTGAAAGAGCAGAGTTAGTTGTGTTCATGTTCTGTGTGAGTCTGAAAGTATCTCATTGTTTGCTTGAAGATGATGCTGCTGTTCTGACCCTGCTCCAACTGAAATTATTCTGTCTCTTTTCATCTTCCCTTGGATGATGGGGCAGACAATTATGAAGAGGGCAAGCTTTGTCTTGAAGCAGGTAATAAATAACCATCTCCATCAACTCACAGTTTGGATCAACTTGTCTGGCTGGAATTACTGCAATTTAACACATTGTGGTGTAATGAATAATAAACTATCTTCAAAAAAATTAAATCAAATTTTTAGCAGTGTTTTTAGGTGTGTTTTTAGGAGCTTTGAGCTGCAGTGCAGCTGAATGTGGATTTTAGCAAGGAAGAGTTTCAGATTCAGAGTTTAGGAGTTTTTCATTGCTGAAAAGATGTTTGCTTCTGAGGCCACGTAATTTGTGTGTACTAAAACATGCTTTGAGATTGATTTTAAAAGCTGCTGTCACTTGGTTTAAAATTAACCTGTTTTATGAAAGAAGGTGTGGATAGATGGAAGCATGCACTGTAATTGCACTGACAGAGATGGCAAAGCACTGCCATGCCTCATTAAACCTGTGACAAATAATGGAGAATATGTTTGCTTTTGGCACCAACTGCATCATCTTTGTGCAGAGTTTGGTCCTCACTGAGCTTCCCTGCAGACTCCAGGGAATTTCAGGCATTCCTGGCTGATGGAAAAGAAGTATCTGTATTGTTGCTGTTTGAAAACCAAAATGGGATGGCAGTAAGAAGCTGGAAAAACTTCAGTAAATTCATTTTTTTTTGCATGTGCTGATTCCAGCTGGCAAATTCCTTCCTTAGATGAGCACCTAAGGAAAACAGAGCTTTTTGCAGCTCTCCACTTGCACTGTTGATTGAAGCACACAACCCTTGCCCCCTGCTGCTGCTCTTAGAAATCATTGAAATCACTCAGAAATAGTTCAGCAGGGCAGGTTGGGTCCCTTTGGGTCCTGTGGTGGGGAACGCTGCAGCCTGTCCCAAAAGTGAGGGATGCCACTGCTGGGGCCATGTGGAGGGAGAAACTCGCCCGGGGCATTTTTAACCAACTCTTATTGTAGTGGCAATGCTTGCTTTAATTGTTTGGTCATGAAACAGATGTCAGGCAATTCCAATAAGAATTACAGATTCATGCTTGAGATGGGGCTGTAGGATTACAGAATTCACAGAATTCCCAGGATGACCAGGTTGGAAGAGACCTCCCAAGGTTATCGAGCCCAACCCAGCCCCAACACCTCAGCTAAACCCTGGCACCCAGTGCCACATCCAGGCTTTGTTAAACACCCCAGGGATGGGCACTCCACCACCTCCCTGGGCAGCCATTCCAGAACTTTATCATTTTTCCTAACATTCAGCTTAAATTTCCCTTGGCACAGCTTAAGATTGTGTGCTCTGGTTCTGTCAGTGCTGCCTGGAGAAAGAGCCCAACCCCTCCTGAGCACAGCCACCTTTCAGGAGCTGTAGAGTGATAAGGTCACCCCTGAATATCTTTTTAGAGAGATTTCGCCATGGGAGCTCCCTGCAGACTGCAATTTGCTAGAATATGGGGTTTGCCCTCTGGTTTCAGGACTTTTCCTGCCTCTATACTGAAAAAAACCCAAAAAAATAGTCTTAAAATGTGGTCCTGAGGCAGCTGAGATCCACGGTCAGCCACCATATCCCAGCGCCCTCATACAGGGGTTAAACCTTCTGTTGCATTGGGCATGTTTTGTGAAGAATGTGATTAAGTTTTGGTGATTAATGTACATTTGGAACAGGAGTGGCATCCCAGAATTTGCATCCTACCTTGGGATGGGTGCTGAAGCATGACTTTTTTACTTCAGCTATCTCAGCTATCTTGGTGAGTTTTTGGGTTTCAGCAAAGTAAATTTTTGCTGGTATCTGAGTCAGCAAAGAGCCTTTGATACCATTGGGTTAGAAAGTTCCTGCTAAATCAAAACCAAATTTTAACACCCGAGCAAAAGAAAATACAGCTCATCACCCAAGACTGGGTTTGCTTTCCTAGTGTGTGAATTTGCCTGGTGAGCAGCATGTGTTGAGTTCAGCAGTCCCACCAGGGGTTTTTGTGCTGTTTTAAGATCTCTTTTCCAAGATTCCCAATGTTTGACAAACTTGCACTTCATTTTTCTTTTTTTTTGTTTTTGTTTTTGTTTTTTACAGATGTTGTCACCTCACTGCAGTGGAAGTGTGTCTGTGGGGATTGCTCGGGGTCACTGTTCCCAGCCAGCTGATGCTCCTCAGGCTCCTGAGATGTTTAATAAATACCCTGTTCTAAAACTTCTGCTGGGAGCTGCAACTGCAGCTCCAGAGGATCAGAAGCTGTTTTGACCTCTCCTTTTTCAAGCTCCTCCTCATCCCAGGAGCTGTCTGGTTAAACAAAGAAACCCTTCCCACCTCTTCCCTCCAGCAGTTAGAAACAGGAGTGGCAGACTTTCTTCTCAGAGATACACATTGAAAAGTCTTGTAATTAGTCTACAGCAATTAATTCTTCTGATATGTACCAATATCTAGTTCAGATCTTTTCTCAGTGCCTGTGGTTTTGTTTTCCATATTTCATGGTGTTTTTCTTGTCCAGTATCTTGTTTTCTCAAACAAGTTTTACATTACTGTTTTGACTACTTTTTCCCCAAATATTAGATCATTGAACTCCTCTTCTTGCTTGCTGGTAATGAAAATAATCTCCAGTAGTATGTTAATACAATAGCAATTTTTAAATTATATTGTTATATGGTTTGCAACATGTATAAAACTACGTTCATGGTTGTTCTGACACGACATGCATTTAATTTGTTTTATCAACTGAAGTGTTCCTACTAGATACCCTGAGTGTGTGGAGTCTAAATCTGGATTTAATTTAGGTTTGGAACGTGCTTTTGGCTAGCTTTTGGTGGCCCGGAGATCTCATGACCTGTCCTTGCGAGGATATGAAAATACTTCGGTGTCAGCATGATTTTGCTGGAGTTAAAATGGGAACTGGCCAGCACGGAGCCTTGACGGGCTCTGGAGCTCGCAGGGAATCCAAGCGCAGGGTGTGCGGGGTCATCCCGGCCTCTCCCTGCACATTCCCTGCAGGAATCCCACCCCAGCACCCCGATAAACCCCGCTGTGCCCTGCTGCTGCTTTGCCTTCAGCAAACACCGCTGCGCTGCCTTTTCTCTTCTTGGGCCTTTATTGTCACAGCGAGAGAGGAGGAGCTGGACGGAGAAATGCCCTGAGCAGAATTCCGCACAAACACTCTCTGTTTCTGCTGCCCTCTGCTCTTTTTAGGTTCCACCACAAAGCTGCAGCCCTAAGACTCTTCAAGGGGCTCAGGTTGATTTATTGTCCTTTTCTTTCCCTTCGCAACGCACTCCAAGAGGAGCCTGAGGCCACCTCAGATCCCTGCGAGAATAAAATGCACCGTTCAGGGACCTGTTTGGTGACTGATGTTGAGTGTGGCCACCAGGAGATCACTGCAGCACTTTCCCACATCGCCTCCTGCCCTGGAACTAATTCCTGCGAGCCTGGGAGCAGCATTCCCAGGTTCTTCAGAGCGCCTTGGAGAAGCCTTGGCTTGGCTTTGGGGAAGTGGCTCCTCCACATGCACAAGCTGCGCGCCAGCTCAGTTTGGTAACATGGCTAAACCCAGCGGAGCGTTGGCAAGGTTTGCTGCTGCATTGCTGGACACGGCGCCCTTGGCATGAGCGCTGCCGTGGGAATGAATGCCCGGGGCTGTGCTGGCACGGGGGGAACCGAGCGATCCTTTCCCAGCAGCGCGGTGTCCCAGCGCCCCAGGGCCGGGCGGAGATCGGAACATTCGGGTTTGTGCAGGGTGCCGAGGGGCTCCTGCCCTGCCGGCCGGGGGCAGAGGCGCAGTTTGGGGACCAGCAGGGCTCCGCTTCGCTCTGGCTCAAACCCGGCTGCCGGCAGCTCCTCCCGGCTGAGTGAGTCACATCGGGAGCAGGGATTCGGTAAAACCCCGCTGCAGAGCGAGCCGTAAACAGGAAAGCGCCGGAGCTGCTCCCAGCCATTCCCGGCACATCGTGCGGGGGACGGGGATGTGACCCCATCCATTCACAGCAGCTCTGAACCTCGTCACTCGTGCGTGTGTCCGTGTGCCTGGGGACACCGAGCCGCTGGCAGATGCTGCGACAGCGCGCTTTAATTCGAAACGCGCGGTTCTGCTGCTAAAAAGTGCTTTGTTCTCGAGAGAGGTTTTTTTGTTGTTTTCCTGCAGGTTTGGTTTAGTGGTGTTGCCCTTTAGTTTTTCCTGCGGGGGGAGGAAAAGGTTTAGGGTTAGAGCAGGGGGGCACAGTAGCGGCGTTGTCCCCGCCCGTTCTCTCCTGTCCCCGCTGTCGCTCGGGGCCGTCCCGGGGCTCGAACCCGCGACCTCCGTCCCCGCGTCCCTCCCCCGCGGGGGCGGGGCCGGGCCGCGCGCTCCCTACCTGCGAGGATGTGACGTCAGAGCAATTAGGGTAATGAGGCGCTGACGTCACGGGCGGCCGGCCAATGGGGGCGGGCGGCGCTCCCCACCTGCTGGCCGCAGAATTCCCTCATTCCTGGGATTCCTCGGCGGGCCCGCGCAGCAGCGGCGCCGGCCCAGCCGCGCCTGCTCCGGGCCCGCTCCGCCCGGCACGGCCCGGCCCGGCCCGGCACGGCACGGCCCGCGGGGCCCGCCGCCGCGCTGCCGGCACCGCCCGGAGCGCCGGTGAGTGCGCGGGGACAGCGCGCACAGGTGGCCGCGGGGGCGGAGGGAGCGGCGCTGGCGGGCGGGACGGGACTGGGACGGGGCTGGGACGGGGCTGGGACGGGGCTGGAACGGGACTGGAACGGGGCTGGGACGGGACTGGGACGGGGCTGGGACGGGGCTGGGACGGGACTGGGACGGGGCTGGGACGGGACTGGGACGGGGCTGGGACGGGGCTGCCCCGGCCCGTCCTCTCCGCGCTGCCGGACTTTCCCCGCTGCCGGTGGCCGGGGAACCTCCGGCGGTGTCGGGAGCCGCTCCCGCCGGGCTGGGGAAGGTCCCGCTGCCCCCGGGCCGGGGAAGGTTCCGCTCCCCCCGGGCCGGGGAAGGTCCCGCTCCCCCCGGGCCGGGGAAGGTTCCGCTGCCCCCGGGCCGGGGAAGGTCCCGCTCCCGCCGGGCCGGGGAAGGTCCCGCTCCCGCCGGGCCGGGGAAGGTCCCGCTGCCCCCGGGCCGGGGAAGGTTCCGCTCCCCCCGGAGCCGGGGAAGGTTCCGCTCCCGCCGGGCCGGGGAAGGTCCCGCTGCCCCCGGGCCGGGGAAGGTTCCGCTCCCCGGTCGCAGCAGCGGGAGCTGCAGGAGCTGCCCCGGCAGGAGCGTGCCCGGGGGTATCCGCAGCGCCGGGACGCTCCCGCTGTCTGCAGCTCGGCTCCCGCCCATCGTGTTCTTCCTGCAGGGAAAATCCCGGCGCCGTATCGGTAGCAGAGGTGAAACCTTCTAGAACGCGTCCCAAGGGCGCTGTGAAGCCTTTTGGCGCTGTATCTTTTATATTCCGCTGGCAGAGGGTTTTTATGTAGCCTTTAGCAGCGTGGTGTCACGCTGGCCGCGTGTTCCCCAGATGTGATCAGCAGTAATTAATTCCGAGTTAAGCTGTCCACACTGATGCCAGTGCATCCCTTTTCTGAGAGTGGATGAACGGGAATTTAACACCGTTTCCACTGGCAGTGGAGAATCCATAAAACCAGCTCAATGCCTTTCTGCTGTGTTGGTGCTTCAGGATTGTCAAGAAGAAACAAGAAATAATGAGCATTTTTTTGATTACACCAAAGAGGACTTGGCTGATCAAGAGTTCCAGGATTTCTCCTGCAGGGTCATTTATCTGGTTAGTTTTCCTCTGACTTTAGAATAGAGTTGTTTAAAGAGTATTCCTCCCAGAGAAACAAACTGCAGTTTGGGTAACCTGAGTGAAGCTCTTTGCAGGGAGTGCTACTGGGAGCCCTTAGATCCAAACCTCTATACAATTGGGCAGCAATATTCCCTCTCCTGCCTTAATAATAAACTTTTTAAAGGCTCTTCTCCAGACTTGAAGGCCCATTTTTTGTATTTTCCTATCACTGAACTTGTCAGTCTTCTAATGTGGAATGTGTTTTGCTTAAATTCTCTACATCTCTTCTTGTTGATACAGTTATAATCTGGTTATTTGGGATCAGGCTGGGAGGCTTTTGAGGTTCAGTTACAAGAACTGCTTTGATTCACAAGTGAGATACAGATCTGACCCGTTAAATCTCGGTGGATTTTGGGCCTGCCTGTGGTAGATTTGCCTCTTCTCAATGAAGTGCCTGGGCTGGAGCAGGTGCTGCTGAGCCCCCAGCACGCTGTGGGCAGCAGGGATGGATGTTTTGGTGCAGGATGCTCTTCCTTCCCTGCTCAGGAGCCCCTCTGTGGGATGGGGTCAGATTTTAGACACACCCTAGAGCAAGAACTGGGCCAGAGCTGAGCACTCAGGAGTGCTGCTGAGATCTAACAGTCTGCTATAAAACTGGCCTGGTAACTAAAATAGGATAGAAAATATCTGTACAGACCTTTGGGGCAGCTTAATTAAGAGCATCCACATCAGAAACCATCAGTTTCTTATTTACATACTAGCAGCTTTGATAGCCTTCTGAGCATCTCCATGTTGCAGAGGTTAATTGGTTTGCTTCCAGACACACCTGGAAGTTTTCTGCTGGAAAAGGGAGCTTTGGAACCGTTCTCTTTACTGTGGTTAAGTGTTTCATAATTTGTTTGCAGCAGATTGTGTAACATGTAGGATGCTCTGAGTGATCTTGTAGGTACAAGACAAGGTCAGATTGGACTTTCCCACCTTAAATTTCTGAGCTTCCAAAAATTAATAGCTTGCTTCTTAAAATGTTGCCTTGTTAAGGGTGATTTATGTAACAAGACAACAAAAGGCATGAGGTGAAATACCAAAGCTCTACTTTAAGCTTATAATTTTCTGTGTGATGAGTTAAATC